TTCTGTCTTTTTAACTGTCTTATGTGTGCAGGCTCGTGAGGCAGTAGAGATGCGTGCCCAGGTGGAGAGGAAGATGGCTCAGAAAGAAAAGGAGAAACATGAGGAAAAGCTCAGAGAAATGGCTCAGAAAGCCAGGGAGAGAAGAGCAGGGATCAAAACCCATGTTGAAAAAGGTGTGTGTGTTTGTTATTATGATGCTATGGGGTGGGTTGGGTTTTTTTTAGCACTCTCTGAAGTATGTGTTTGGAGAAATAACTTGAGAACTTATAATACCTAAATATCAACTGTAATTTCTAACCATGATATCTGTTCTTCATGTCTTTACTTGATCAGCCAGTGAATTTGGTTAATTCACTGGCTGGCTTGATGGGATCTGGATTTGAACTTCACAGCAATATGTCAGTGTATACGGGTTTCAGACACTGTTGAGAATTTCAGTTATTAATGGATCAGTGCAAGTAATGACTTTCATGGACTGTTTTAAACTATTTTTTTTAGAAAAGGCTTGTTGCAGATGAAGAGCAACTTTGTTTACAAGAATTAAACCATCTTTAAGTTTTCAAAGATGGTAAATGCAGTATTCTGTCTCTTACACTGTTGTATAACTGGTCTTGTAGAACTATAGTTCTCTTGCCTGCTAGGCCCAAAACCTGCTAACCAAACTAAATCATAACCATTGTGATAAGTCTTACATTTTGATTGAAATGACACTTCAAAGATCAAGATGCTGAACTTACAGAGCAGTTATGATCTCTCTAAAAGGTGGAGGATATGGTCATATAATGCCAAATCCTGCAGCTGGGATGGACTAACCTCTTCCCAGCAGGCTGGGGACTGGCCGGCTGGAGAGCCACTCTGTTGAAAAGGTCCTGCGAGTTCTAGTGGACAGTATGCTAAATGTGAGCCAGCAGTATGCCCTGGCAGCAGTAATGCTAAGGGCATACTAAGCTGCATCCACAGGAGTGTAACCAGTAGGTCAAGGGAAGTACTCGTTTCCTTTTACTGGTGACCTGTTAAACAGCATCTGGAACACAGTGCGAGTTATGGGCCCCCAGGTACAAGACAAACGTTGATAAACTGGAGTGGGTTCAGTGGAAGGCCATCAGAATGGTCAGGGGGCTGGAGTATCTGCCTAGTCAGGAGGTGCTCAGAGAATGAAGCTTGTTCTGCCAGGAGAAGATGTGGCTTTGGGGGCACCTAATGGGAGCTTTCCCATATGTACAAGGTAACCATCAGAGCTCTTCACTAAGCTGCAAGCTGCACAGTGGAAGAATGAGACAGTGGTCAAAAGTTGAAGCAGGAGGTTCCAACTACATGTGAGGAGAAAAATTTTCAATATGAGGACAAGCAGCAGTGAAACAGGTTGCCCAGGGAGGCTGGCAATCTCTATCCTTGGAGCTTCTCCCCACCTGAGTGGGCAAAGCCCTGAGCAACCTGGTTTGGATTCAGCATTGA